TTAAAAAAAAAAAAAAAAAAAAAGTGAAATCCAAAGATGCAGACAGGAAAGTCAGGGATCCAGGCTGCCTAAGGACCAAAGGGGGTGGAAGGAGCCAACGGCACCCCCAGTCCTTGGAGGTCCCTCTAGGTGCAAGCGGAGAAAACCAGATTGAGGACACTAGCAATGAGAAAGGATTGGGTGAGAGCTGACCCCAAGAAGATACAGTGACCATTGAGGAAGGGGTGAGAACACGACCAGTCTGGTTCTGGAAAGGTGGAAATAGGAGGCCCCTATAAACTGAACCCCCACCCTTTCCTAGCATCTTTGAGTTTCAGAAGGAACCCCAAAGAGATTTGGAGCACGCAGGTCCCTAGAGCTACTATTTCAGGGCAGGAAAGAAGAATGCCTCTCAGGCCAACGGCCCCAGCAACCCATGTTTCTGGGACCCTCGATGAGAGAGTGCAGAGTGGGGACATGGGGTGGTCCACAAAGGAGACTGTAAGAATGCGTGGCCAGGTAAAGTGCCCCAGCAACCACCTGGTGGGCACGGGATCCAAAGCAAGACTGTCTCCGAGGTGAGACTGAAAACAACAAGGCCAGAGCAGAGACACTGAGCGTCCCTCCTTCCCCCATCCTTCCCTAGGTCCCTGAGGGTTAAAAGAATGCCTTGGACGAGAAAGAAAACCAAAAGCAGAAAAGAGGGAGAAAGTTGCCCTGAAGCAGAGGAGGAAGTCTGGCGGAAAAGAGACACCTGCATTCCCCCACACTCACTCTGAGTTCCCCCTCACCTCCTCTCAGCGCCCTGCAGAAGGCCAGCAGTCTGCTCTGAACTGTGGGTGGAATGTCAGTTTCTACAGCACTGTCTCCCTGACCTGAGACCAAAGTGAGGCAGTGATCAGGCAATTTGGGCACACCCCAAATTGTGTCTGGACTATCAGAATTAATATCCCAAGTCCTTACTTGGTTCTCCAAATGCAGTTGTAACGTCTGTCTGCCTCTCTTTCTCTCTCTCTCTCCTTTTCTCCTACATACACACACAGTCCCTTGTTTTCCAGTTAAAAGGGAAAAAGAGAACTGGAATCATATTTGCTTCCAGGAAGATGCCATTGTCTAGGTCTCAGTGGACCCCGACTTTAGGCTATTGATGGAGGTTCTCATAGATAATAAAACACAACAAATTTACCACCATGAAAAGGTCTGGAGGACACACTCGGGGTGGGAACAAAGGAGCACAGAGAAGGCGAGAGGATTGCAAAGGGATCTTTCATATTTCATTTTCAGTAGGAACAGTTTCTATATAAGGTCAAAACAGCTACCATGTGGTAACAGCAAGACTTGGAATGTGGAGCCAAAACACCAAAAGACAATCTGATTAAACATCTAGAGCTTAATTTTGTAACTGGGAGCACAAAGCAGCAGGCTGAGTGCAGCGAGGAGGCGGTGTGGTCCGTGGTGGTAACGAAGCCCCACCTCCCAACGCGTTTCTAAATAGCTCACCCTTCCCCATTAACCAGAAGGAAGGCCAGGGACTAAATCCAGGCAGATTTGAAGGCGGATTACCTCCCTCATTATTCTGCAGAGGCTGAGCTGTGTGGCTGCTGTAGTTTTAATTACACATTTGCTTTTTCTGGGGAAGAAGACCAAAGATCATATTTTTCAAAGTATCAACTTGTTTTCCATTAGGCAGTTGTTGTAACAAGTTCTTTCGGCTACACGTGATGTCTTTAGGAAGGGGGTACTTCAGATGGCGCGCACTAGCACAATTTTGTGGCTTTTAATTACTATTTTGTTCTTTTGCGGGGTTTCAGAGGCTGGCGCCTAGGCGTGATTAGACCGTCTCCTGGGCCCGTCTCAACCGCGCACACCCCAGAAGGTGGCGCCACAAGGCAGGTAGTGCCGCAGAAACTGCGGACTTGGGAGTCCAGTAAGGGCGAGTGTCCCCCAACTGCGGACCACCGGTCCCAGCCACCAGGAAACACATGCAGAGGAAGTCACCACTTCCGACTTAAAAGGAGAAATTGCAACGATAGAGGGGAACAGGGTCCTGAAGAGAAAAACTGTAAAACAGGGTTACATGCCTCATATAAAAACTTTTCTATTTGTTTCTGTAAGTTTACCAAAACTTGTAGTATGGAGACGACTCTCTCACCTAAGTATTATTCCATTTCCTCTTCTGGAAAAGCATAGAAGTTAGAGTTAAAATGAGCTTTGAAGACCATGTGGTCGGTCTGGTCTTGCTTTCTAACCTAGAGAGGAAATCGATCCCCGTGCTGGCTTTTCGGGTGTCAGAGAGCCATCTAAGGCACAGTCTCCACGGGTCGGGAAAGTACGAGGGGAAATGACGTCAAATAGTGTATCACTAGCCGCAATGCCTTTGGATTTATATAGCTTTTCTCTCAAGCAACAAGGAATATCGCTTAAATACTATCTAATTAATTGTCCTAATATCCCTGCGGGCTGGTTAGGAAGCAGGTATTATTATACCGTACGTGGTTTATGGATAATTTAAATCAACGGACTGTGTCAAGTGCCGAGTGGCTGACAAGGAAAGTAAGTGCCAGGCGCTTCAAGGGAAAACGGGGCCAGCGCTGGCGCGGCTCTCGGCGCCGCTTTATTTTGACCGATGTGTGAAAGCTGACCTCGGACCTGAAGGCACGTGTCACTGCAACTGGTTGGCACTTGTACCCTGAATGGGAAATGCCATTCTCCGATTTCACGCCCTGTCCCGCGGCCCGCCACGCTCACTCCCAC